CTCTTCCGTCGATCCCCCAAAAAGATGTGCGGCTTCCGGTGTCTCACCCCGTGCTGCCTGCGTGCAGTTGCTGCTGGTTCGGCTTCCTCTGTTGGAGGACTCTCGGAGGGGACACTTGGAGCCTTTTTCAGGGCCTCAGGAGGCATTCGGGACTTTCGGGGCCTCCCCGGCGGTTGTTATTTTTCCATCGGAGAGCAAAGGAATAGTTAGTCCTGCATCGCACTGCATGGTCAATTGCTGGAAATCAAACCTGCTGTACAAGTCCAGCAACCTTCCTGGTCCACAGACCTATCGCGCGTCGCCCGATTAGCTCGGAATGACAACGGAAACCAAAACATGGTCGTGTCCCTGCCTCGGCGAGGGGAACTCAAAGAGCCGGAAGCATCCACTACATCGGAGGCCGCTCCTCATGTCAGAGTCGGGCCCGGTCGGCCCCTACACCGCAGCCCGTGGTCGACGGACTACCGCTGGACCGTTGTTGACAGCTCCTGGAATAGTTAGAGGAACGAGAACTATGCACATACACCGATTCTGGCCAGGCCCATCCTGAGCCCAGGATCGGTCAAGGATGGACGTTGCCAGGATCGGTGCATGTGTATAGTTCTCTTCGCCCATAGTGTCCTTCCTTCGCAGCCCACCCCCGCCCTGGACGGGCGGCACGAACAAAAAAAACTTATTGTGGCGGCGAACGCGACGGGCGACGCCCGGCGTAGCCGCCGCGATGGCGGGCGCGCCGGAAACAGATCCGACGCCTCCTCCACCTCCTCCACCTCCTCCACCTCCACCTCCTCCTCCTCCTCCGACACACGAGTCCTAACACGGGCGAGGGGGAAAGGACCAGCGTCTGACATCGGCTCAAACAAATGTGCTTAAGAATGGGAGGATCGGCAGTGCCGCCGACACGACTCCATACATAGCGAGGGATAACAAAAGACAGCGCGGGGCGCAACATAAGCTGGTGACCAGCGCGGGGGCACCGAGAGCCGCCCCAGTCCTAGCAAACTGCTCTGCCAGCAGCGCGACCAACGTGATCCTACCCCGCAGGGTCTCCACAAGTCTTCCCGCGGCCTCGCGCATCACCCGCCCCCCAATCGTCCCTCTTCCTCCCTCCAATATATCGGCGGGCGCGGCGCGACCCGTATATCGACGGCGGCGCAGGCGGCAGGAGGAGCACGAGTCTCCGCTTACTCTGGGCCCGCTGGAGGGGCACTAGCTTCGATATCGCCAAAAACAGATCCTGGCGAACTTGGCCCAACTATTTGCAATTGTTAATGCCGCGCTGCGTTCTTTCATAGAAGTGATCTCCGAAGTCTTGACTTCTTGCATGACGACATGGAAACAATGAACATAACAGCAACGCCAACTCGGTATTCGAGTCGTGGATCGACTACATAATCGAAATATCCCAAAATTGAGGTTCTCGTCGCCTCTGCGAAAGGTACGTCGGATGTTTGTAGATCTACCAACATCCGGCGAATTTCTCGCAGACCCGACGAACAAATCAATTCTGGAGTAAATGAACTCTGTAGTCGATCCCCTACTCGAGGCATGTGCCGAAATAAGGGGGCCCAGGGACGCACAAACAAATACACACGAGTCCCAGGATCCCCCCTATTTCTCCACATCTTTGGGATCCTCGCCTCCCCCCCACTTCTCAAAATTTCTTTGGGATCGACGACTCATTGTGTCTGTGTGTTCGGGTCCGGCGAAAGGGGGGGATCGCAAAGGGGGGGGGTGAGAATCAGCTCACGTAGCTGATTTTCCCGGCGCCTCCTGCCGCCGGAAGCGGCTACGTATCGAGGAATGGGCCCCTCGGTGAGGCCGAAACCAGCTGCATGCAAATTTCCTGACCCCTCCTTTCCCAATCCCCCCCTCTCGCCCAGCCCGAGGGTGTTCCCCCTCCCGACGACAAGTGGCCAACGTGCCGAGCGCCACCAGAAGCCACCAGGCTCTCTCCGGGGGGGGGGGGCGCCGTCGGGCCGCGAGGGCGCGCCGCTCTGACCGCCGACGGCCCGCCCGCCACGGCCGGGGGCTCCCGGCGCGCGCGCGCGCTGCGGCGGTGGCCACGCCGACGCGCTGCGCCGCGTCGCCGCAGTAGGAACTCGGCCACAAGAAGCCCTCCACGAGAAAGGCAACCCTGAGACCCCAGGACGTCCACTGATTTGGGTGTGGGGACGCCACGTTCTCCATCGCAAGGCCACCGAAGCCCGAGAAACCCCGGGAACCCTGGAGGCAAGCGGGGTGTTTCTTGGCATGAGCCTCGGCGGTGGACAAACCTCCCTTTAGCACACTTCCCCTTAGTGAAAACGGCCTGGGACCGAAACCGCCGGACCTGGGCCCGCCAAAATGACGGCCGCGACGCCCTCTCGCGAACCGAACACGGCCAATTCCGTAATCGACGTGTCAGGAAAGGAGGTCTGTCCACCCCCGACAGCCTGGCAGACGTGCTGCAGCGGACTTTGGCAGTTCTTCTGTCCACGCAGGGCCCCGGGACGGCGAGCGGAAGACGGAGCGAACCTCACGTGGGTTTTGTTTAGCCTTCATTCCTGGCCAACAAAAACGATTCCGCGCGAAATTCTCTGCGAAATCCGGAACGACATTCTCCAGGACTCTCTGGGTCCATCCTGTTGAGATCCAAAGGAAATGCGCTCTGTGATGCTGGCGCCATGATGTCGACGCCCCTCGCGCGCATCGCGCACCAGGACAAAGCTTGGCACGATGTCTCTCGTGCGTTGGTGAGCGTTTCTTTCTCGGCGTTTCGACATTGGGCGGAAAGGGGGGGGGGGGTCTGGCTCCAGACCTCTGCTTAGTGCGACTGCTTGCGACAGTGCGTCCCATGGGGGAGACTCCACCCGCTCGAAACAGGCGACCAACAACAGCCAAGATCTACTCCACGAGGGGGGTGGGTGGGGGGTGCGAGGGCCCACGCCGATCTGCAAAACAATGAATGGAAAACACGATCGCTTAGGCAGACTACGAGCGGAACTCGCAGCGTCGTGGAGCTGGGCGGCGGCGGTAAACCGTCGACCATGGCTACCGCTGGTGGACTCGTAGAGCTTCTGCCCGAGCACGGACGCCTCTAGATAAGTGCGTTTCATCAAGTCTCCCGAAGCTGTAGACTGGTGCTTTCGACACTGATGAACCGCTTGCTGCACCCGAGAGCCCTGTCGCTGTTCTGAATCTCGAAATTTAGCAGAAGGGCCGCGCACAGCAGCAGAGCAGTTGCAGATTAAGACTAGCGTTTCGATCGCAGCTCGAGTGGCAGACCAAACTCAGGTCCGTGGAAGTAGGAGTGCGAAGCTACTGGTCGTATCATTGTGTACGAACATGCAGAGCTCTGAACCCACTCTTTATCTTGGGATTCACGCCAAAACAACTGTTCGATTGAGCAAAGGCGGCTGCAGAGTGGTACTATGTTAGCGAAGATAACTCAAGTAGTAGACCGATCCCATGCCCCCGAGGCTGCAGACTAGTGATTTCGACGCTGCTGAGCCGGTTGCTGCAATCGAAGAATATGCAGCTGCTCTACATCTTGAGTTCTAGAAGAAGGACCACGCACTAGCAGAACAGTTGCATGGTGAGGCTAGTGTTTCGATCACAGCTCGAATAGCAGACCGAACTCATGCCTCTGGGGGTGCAAGAAAGAAGCCATTGGTCATACCCACGTGCACGAACAAGCAAAGCTCCGAACCCACTATGATTCTCGAGATTGAGGCCAAAAACTATTCGATTTAGCCAAAGCGGTTGCGTAGTGCTACTAATTTCTCGAAGGCTCGAACAGTAGGCAGCTTTCAAGTCCCAAGAAGCTTTAAACTGAAGGTTCCGAGGCTGCTGAACCCATTGGTGCAACCGAGAGTTTTGTAGCTGCTCTAAATATCGAGATCAAGTCCGCGAACCGAGCGCGCGTCAGAAGAAAGGGTCCCTGGGCGAGTGCCCGCCACATGATTTTACCCAACTTCAAGATTATCCGATCAAACTTAGAATAAGGTGGCGAGCGCGTCTAAATTCGGAGGTGTCCGGAAAGTTATTGGGAGCCAGACGAATTACCAAACACAGATTCCAACAGATTTCTCACCATGGCAAATGTCATAAAATATTCAATCGGGATGATCGGGGCCGCCTAGCCCGCCAGTGATCCCGTATTACTCTTAGCTTCCGCTGCTTCGCTCTCTGGGAAGCTCTAAGAGTCACATGACTCCGAGAGGCTCGCGAGAACAACATCCCAGAACGACGAATCAAGTGCAACTCAAGACACATGGTGTGTCCGAGTGCCCGAAGCTGGGGAGAGACAGGGACGAAGCAACGTGGAACCCGGGAGAAGTTCACAATCGGGGATACGTAAGACTCGGGTACGGGGGACTCGGGTTGGCCTGACAGGGCCTTCATAAAAATGACGGGACCCAATCTGAAATTTGACGCGAACTCCCGCTGCAGAAAACCCGCAAAAACTGGACTGTCAAAGTCCAGGACGCGCTCGTCAAAAAACGTCGGCAAGCCCGAGTTCTGGCTTACTCGAGCCTTACGTGCCTCCGACACGGGGGAGCTCAGCCAGGAAGCCTCGACGGAGCAGGCACCAGCAGGGCCGCCCCCTCCCAGCGCCGTGCGCCGCGGCCTCCTGCCCAAGCTGGCGGGAGCCTCCGGCAAGCCTTAAGTCGGGCCTGTCCCCGTACAGGGGGATTTTCGATGACAAATAAGACACAGTCAAAACATACGCCAAGATGCTCAAGACATACAACAACATAGTCCCCAGAGTAAAAAAAATCAGGAAGCCCCGCCCCCACTGAGCAACCCGACGTCTGCAGGTGACTCGCACCTGGAAGCGCCGACATGCACAGAGTGCCGAGGTGCCGCGGGACACGAGCCGCCCGCCCTCCAGGAGGGAGCGCGGGCACAATTCTCCGAGGAGCGGGGGACCCACCGCCCCCCCACTGAGAATGGCGGGGGCTCCGGGAGCAGTGCCGCCGCTTCCCATTCCGCCCTTCCGTCCGCTCCTCGTCTCTCCCCCCCCCCCTGCAGAACCAGCGAGCGGGCCCGCTGCAGGGCACCCAGCCTTCCTACGGTGTGCTCCAGGTGGAGGCCCCTCGTCTCCGCTCAGCTTAAAAGGGGGGCTGCGGCCGTCGTTCCCGCTGGAGCAGCTTCGCGTGGCCTCTGGCGCGAGGCCGAGGCTGGCCGCCGCGGCACCCCCCGTGGGGCGACCTGCCGAGCTTCGGGAGCAGCTTCGGAGGCTCGGCGCTCTCGCAGGGAACCTCGCTCGAACTCTGCGCCCGCCACGGATTCTCCCTCCGTCGTCGGCGTCGTTCTCGTCGTTGTCGTCGTACATATCCTCGTCGTGGTCGTCGTCATCGAGGTCCTGGTCGTTGTCGTTGGCGAGGTCGTTGTCGTGGGCCTCCTGCCGCAGGGTGCCCACTGCGCCGGGGCCTGCTCCGCGGTGCTGCGGGTGGACTTGCAGCGCTCCAGGTGCGGCAAGACGAGCGCCTCCCAGCTGCCGCTCCCCAGGCACCGCGCGGGGGGCCCATAGCAGGATAGCCTTCTTCATGCACTCGGGTGCTCTGGCAGAAGGCCTTCGGGAACGGGAGCACGTCGAAGCACAACCAGTACGCAATGACACGGAACGGCCACACGTCCTTGGCTTTGCCATACCCATAGCCCATCAACATCTCCTGGGAAGTGAAGAGGATGGTGCTGGCCACCTCCCGCAGCTGCCCGCCACGAGGCGTCCTGACCACCAGCCCGAAGTCGCACAGCTTCACGGTGCTCCCATCGGAGCGAATGGGGCAATCATGTGGCTTGATGCTCCTGCGAACGGTGACAGCAAGGTTGCACGCCTGCACCCCAAGAAGCATCTCCTTCAGCACGCGGTGGGACTCCGGCGCCCAAAAGCTTGGCGACCCTGAGATCTTGCGGAGGATGTTGCTCTCGCACCCCTCCATCACCATGAAGACACGCTGCTCCTCCACCATCGCCGAGAGGAGGCTCACCACATGCTTGCTGTCTTGGACGCCGGACCAGCTGGCGAGTTGACCGACGACCTCCTTCACGTTAGTGAGCATGAAATTACTGGGCTCCAGAGTGCTCAACTACATAATCTTCACGGCCATGTCAAACACCGCGCCCAAAGAGAACGTCGCTTCGAAATCACCTTTGTTCACGTGTTGAATGAGGTCGCGTGCCTGGGCAGCATTTTCGGCGTCGCCCGCGACGAAGGAAGACGTGCACCCCATCGCGGCCGCAGACGACAGAGGAGCAGAAAACAGGCAGCAAGCACAGCGAGAAGGCCAAAGTTGCCTGAGCCAAATTGACTACGGACCTAGGGGGCACGTCCTCCTCCTCCTCCTCCTCCTCCTCGCCTCTCCTTTCCATCTCCGTCTGTCCTCCTTTTTTGCACTGGGAAGGCCAGGCTTGTTGTGCTCCTCGAAAGAAGAGAGATGAATGAGCCGACTAAGGAATCTGAAACAAACAAGGCTGCTGCCAGTGTTGATGGCAGCGAGGCCGAAAGACATTGTAGTTTCTGCCCTTCTGTCCTCCTTCTCCTCGTCCTCCTCCTCCTGCTCCTCCATCCCTTTTCCTTTTGAACGAGTCCTCCCTTTCACACACCTCGACTTTTCGGTAGGGCGGACCTGACGTACTCATGGAGGGCGGTCCTTTTTCAACATGCTGATCTCGCTTTGGCGCCGCGCACACTCGTCTTGAGAATGTGCACTACTTTCAACTATGGAGAGCGGCTCCTCTTAAGCATTGCCAACTGTTTCAAGGATTCGGATGGCCGAAAGTCCAAGGATGGTGCCCCAACACTGGCACGACTTCGGACCGTCAGGACGCGACAATTTTGTTGATTCGCGGTGCTGGAGTCCCTAGAACGGTGTTCTGGCACGACGTAAGATTGACAAGGTGCAACAATCACGTTGGTCCGCGGCGCTGTCGTCCCAGAAATTATGTGTTGGCACGATTGAAGATTCTCAAACGGTTGTCTTCTAATGAACCACCTTCCACAATAATATTATGCTAACGGAGTTCCCCACATGAGGATGTTGAAGACGTCGTGGGATCAATGAGGCAAAGTAATAGCAATATGAGTGGAAATGTCATCGAAAACAGACGTGCGAAAGAAACAGCAGACGAAGGCAAGGAGGGGGGGCAGCAGGGAGGAAGACGGCGGCTGTTCAGGAAGCACGTTCGTCCCTGGAGGAGTGGGAGGGGCACGAAACCTGATGAACAGCATGGTTTTTGAATCCCCTACTCGTTCAGGCGGGGCCTCCCTGGAGGAATGGGAGGGGAACGAAACCTGATAAATCAAATGGTGTTCGAATCCCCTCCTCGCTCAGGCGACCTCCCTGGAGGAGTGGAATGGGCACGAAACCTGATTCATAACATTGTTTTCGAATTCCCTCCTCGCTCAGGCGGGCCTCCTTGGAGAAGTGGGAGGGGCACGAAACCTGACAAGTAAGCTGGTGTTCGAATACCATCATCGCTCAGGCGGGGCCTCCCTGGAGGAGTGGGAGG